GGGGCAGTATTGGACCAATACAAGGCTCCTTTGACTGCCATTATAATTGATTAAACATTCATATTTCAAAAACTATAAGTTTTACAGGCACCAAAAGGCATYGCCATCATTTGGCACAGGGGCTTTACAGATATAAATTACAATGGCWYCTCTAMGACAAAATWTGCAGGAGGAGAAGCATGGCAAATTTGAGATGACTTGGATGGGAAACGAATCACAATAGTGTGCATTGCATTGGCAATGCACACTGAAAAGAACACATTATGCCTTCTATTTAACACAAATAATATTTTGACATCTCTAACTTGCCAAAATTTTAAACCAATTGTATTTCTACTTTCATAGTTTTATCTTCAACTGCTTGTAGTTTTAACTGTCTTGTGTTCATATAAATGGTTTTTACCAGCTTAAAGCAATATTTCAATGTTTCTGTAGACACAAAACATGTCTATGTTTAACTAAAAGGACTCAGTAATTAAAGAAGAAAACCAGGTTTGGGCTCAAGAGARGAATGAACCAATTGGCGGGCTGCATTTTGGTCACTCGCAGGCCGGATTTGGCCCGCGGGCTGCCAGTTGAACAGCCCTAGTTTATAAATTGTGCAACACACAAAATTATATAATTGTTCTCCTTTCACACACAAAAGTCCAAACAAAGTAAAAACAAACACCCTGATGCCCAATGATACAGTATGTTAGAATTCATAAACCTTTTAATTTGTTTATGCCTATGAAATTCAAGGTCTAAAGCAGGCGTCATCAAACCTTAGATCATTTTGTTTAGTTTATCATTAAACATCCYAAGACAGCAGGAGAGCTGCTGGATTTCTTTAATGTTTTCTACCTGGCTGCCAAAGCTGTGTTTATGCGACTATAATGTTTCCATCTGTGGCTTCAGATTTGTTTGTTACCACGGCACTGTTGAGCGCCAAAGCACTTTGCCTTCACCTTTAGCTGTTTACTCTCAAACTGTTTTGGAGCGCTGACAATCAACAGTTTAGAGTTCCTCCACGCGGAGGAAAAACACAACAAGCTGCAGAAACAATTCTGAAGCGCTTCGCCAGCTGCTGCCAGTARGTGTTTGCTGCTGGGTTCAGCCAAGACAAGCACGTCTCTGCCACCTCYTTTTCTTTTTCAGTGGCAAACTTATTGAAGCTAAAATGAGCTAAACCCAAGCTACAAGCTAAATTTAGTAAAATAGAGCCCTAAAACTGAAAAAAGGACAAATTAGCTGAAAGCAAAAACTAACAAAACTGTTGTCAAGAACTAAATGTAGCAAAACTATAGCTAATGACAAAAATTAGCTAAAAAAAGCTACATTTAGCAAACTTCTAGCCTGAACACTAGCAAAAAGCTCAACCAAACCATAGATGAAAGCTAATATCAACAAGATATGGCAAAAACATAAATGCTAAAGAAATCTATGTTTTGMGGGAAAAAAAGAAAAAAAAGTCCCATCAGAGCGTTTGTTGGTCAAACTTTACTTRTGCATGCTGGTGATGTTTACACGGCTCCAGGCTCAGATCAACGCCTCCATTCTCCAAAAACTTGAATCCCACAGCCTTGAGGTTCTTATCAAATCTCTGGACTCCAGTTTCCATTTCCTCTCCCAGCKTGTGTCTCTGGAGAGCTCCCAACAAAGCCGTCTTCATGCTGCCTGGCTGTGTGCTACTCAGAGGTAATGGCCATAAAATGGGACTGTGTTAACAGATGTTGATTACATCTGGAGTTCAAGCTAGCTGGAGCTGGATGGAGAGGAGCTGAACTGAGTGGCAACTCTGAATCCGTTCCTATTTGTGACACATGTTTTGTGTTTTTACACTTGATAAAGCTGCAAAGTTCTCAGTCACTGAAACAACAAATGCACATGGCTTTAATTAAGGTGAGTCTTCTGTCCATAATCTATTAATGATTGTTAAACCCTGGTAAACATTGGTATGTGGAAACAAACATGTTTAACAAAGGTTGCATTGATGCAAAATCTGTTTACGACTTCAGTTAGAGAATGGAATGTTTTTTTATTGCAAATATTAAGAGCTGGCTAACATAAATACTCATAGCATAATGAGCAACCACAGATATGCCCTTTCCCACCCTGAGTCTGAACAGCTTTAAGGCCTTCAGGATTTTCCAAATTATTCTTTTTGAAGAAAAAACATTTGATCCCATTTGTGCTACAAGCAGACCACAACTCATTAACTGAATCGATAAAAATGTACCTTAAACTCTTGAGGCTTACTTTTTTCCTTGTTTATTTCAAGTTTTGGTGCCAAAATAGTAGAAAACCATGTGTAATGACATTTTACCTAACAAAGTTTCTCACACTAAATTTATAAAAACTCACAGCTTTCATTATTAGCCTGGCCCTTGCCTTCCTATGCAGTTTCGTCGGTAGAATTTTAACCGGGCCAATCAGCGAACAGAAGGAGGAGTTTTGAACAACATTGATTTTTCAGTCTGCCTGTAGTTTAGCATTCGGCAGCGGAGGAAGTGAATGAAGCCAGTCCGTGTTGACAAGGCTTCCAAATCAAATTAAATTAGTCTCACAAAGCCCGCAGCTCTCATTTACAGCCATCTGTTCGGCTTCTCTCTTCCTAGTAGTGGATAGTTGTTTACAGCACATGCAATTTCTGGTTAGCTTCTTAGCTTAGCTTCCTTCACGGTCAAGCTGGCACACTGCATACGTCACAGCCAAACGTMAGCGACTGGGTAAATCAGAATCGTTCTAAACTTCAACAGAGTCCACTCCTCCTGCAAGAAATCGCTTCTCAACAACCGAGGTTTCAGACCCTCTGTACGATGCAAAACATAAGAAAAGGGGCTGGTTTTTACCAGGCTAAACTTTCACCTGTCTTCTTAAGCTGTCATTCTTTAGTCATCAGATTAGTAAAAGGAATGTATGAAAGATCCACATTTTCATCCATTAAACATATTCACATTTTGCTGTGTACTTGGAGTAAGTATTATTAGTTGTATTTGTGTGTTTGGATTTAAATGTTCTGAAAAAAAAAAGTTCTACCTTGTTCAGCCAAGTGAAACTGCTCTTGCAGGCCTGCACAATATCAGCAGTAAAAACTGGACGTCTGGATGTTTGTTAGCCAAAGACTTCAGAACATGGTTAAACACATTTAAAACAGCCTGATMGAATAGAAGCATATTCCAAAAAAGGGCTCATTGTGGATCCTTGAAAACACACTGTGTATTTCAGGATCACCATCAAACGACACAAAAGGAGGGATGTGTAGATTTAGGGGAATAAATGGGTTCGTAACGTATCATAGTTTGAAAACTCTCCTTCATTTTTCTGCTTTCCTAACCTTAATGTGAACTCTTTATCTTATCCTCCTCCTCATCTACACTGATAATATTTTAACCTGACCCTAAATTCAATATCTGACCTTAAACCAGGAGTAGCACAAACATAAAAACTGCGTCGTCCACCTTATCTCTCATGTGCAACACCTTAGTTTGTTTGTCCAATACTGAGCTGAAACATTACATCCAAGCCGTGAATAAACACAGAACAGAGAGGACGACGAGTTCACTGGATTTACGGCTTTTTACATATTGTGCACATCACTCACRGTGCATTCTTCCAAAATGCAGGAATTCAAAAAATGACCTTCCTGTATGGGGTGCCGTTTGTAAAGTTACACAATCAAAAATTACCACCAATATTTTTGTTTTATTTAGCCTTTTTTAAGAAATAAAGAACAGATTTATTTTTCAAAGTCAGTTTTCACCATATGATTCATACATTTATAAATGTCATAGTTTATAAACTAAACATTTAACTTATAAATTAAATATTTAGTTAACAAGCTAAATATTTAACTTGTAACTTAAATATTTAGTTTTGAGCTAAATATTTAGCTTGAAACTTAAATATTTAGCTGGCTACCTAAACATTTAACTTAATTATTTAGCTAGCAAGTAAAATATTTAACTTAAATATATAACTAGCCACCTAAAGATTTAACTTAAATATTTAGGTGACTAGCCAAATATTTAAGTTGCAAGCTAAATGTTTAGGTAGCATGCCAAATATCTAAGTTAAATATTTAGGTAGCTAGCTAAATATTTAAGTTGCAAGCTAAATATTTAGCTTATTAACTAAATTTTTAATTTGTAAGTTAAATATTTAGTTTATAAACTATGACATTTARAAATGTATGAATCATATGGTGAAAAACTGACTTTGAAAAATAAATCTGTTCTTTTATTTCTTATAAAAGGCTAAATAAAACAAAAATATTGGTGTTGATTTTTGACTGTGTAACTTAAACGGCACCCCATATTCCTGTAGAAGTCAGAAAAACACAAACTCAAAGAAAAGCCTCAAACCACCAACCTTAACATGTTGAAGCTGTAGCACCAGATTGTCAAGCTGACTTCTTTTGTCCTCAATTTCAGCTTGTCGTTTTCTCTTCTCCTGAAAATAGAAAAAAAAAGAGAAAAGGGAGAAAGAGTTAACCAAGTGCAAATGTGAAACTTGATTGGTTGAGATTTGTTTTACTTGACATTGAAAACAGTAAAATACCGGATGGTAATTCACTAACGAAGGCTGCACCCATTTTGTTCAGCAGCGGCAAATAACTCCAATACTTTAACTCGATGAATGCCTCAATCCAGAGAAAACAGAAATAAAAAGAACTGATTGTGGACACTTGAAGGACAGGCAGTCAGAGCTTCTCATGGGTTAAAACAAGTCAAGGCTCACAGAGAGGATAAATCAGGCCTTGAAATAGTTTGAGCTTGATGTTGAGAGATCCATCTTTCACTTCATGGAGAAATAAGTCTGATGGGTGGAGGAGGGGCTGAATGTGTGCTATAGGAATAAAATGACTCGAGGGACCCATGGGATGTGGAGTCAGTGTCTATAAAATGCTGAAAATGCCTTGAAACTTAAAACCAAGGACATCCCAGAGCAAGGCTTTGTGAGACACAGGGGCAGGAGAGACTGAGGATGGGTACAGTGAGCTGCTTTATTTCTCGCTCCTTTTCTGTGGGAGTAGAACAAGGATTTCTAGGACATTTCCTGCTGGCTAAAAATAGCAGGGAAAACCCTGTAATGTGAATAAACTCACGACCATGTTTAAGTGAAAGTACAGTAGGAGTGAGTGAGCATGAAAAGATCTYGACACGGCAAGGAAATCATCAGGAAATACAACGAAAATGACAACAACATGTGTAAATAACTAAGTAAAAAATAACCCTAACAGAAAAGTACTTTGGTAAAAATGAATTTCACTGATGAGAAAAAAACTTAAGTAAAAGTCATAAAACGGGTATATATATACAGTAGTGTATATAGACTAAAATTTCGGAGCTCCTCAGCAAAACTAAATGGTAAAAGGGTTGGTCACTGGTCGTGGAAAAGAAAGAAAATACATGTAGTGCAAGAAATCTTCCACAGTTAGCTATGTTATGTTATGATGAGTTTGTTCCATAAAGTAACAGATCACTACCCAGGTCAGAACATCTAGCTGCAGTATGTTTTCTCATCTGTAAACGAGAAKATAAAAGAATTGTAGCGTTGCAGTTGCAGTTTCACCGTGCATCACCTTCCAGCCGAAGAAAATATGAAGTGTGTTGTGAAAATTGTGATCATTTGGTGCAAGAAAATGATCAAACATGCCTGACAATGAGTGCATTAGCATTAGAACTGAGGTGGGTTTTTGCACATGCAGGACAGAACCGCTGTTTTTTTGGCTTTTCTTCGAAGTAGTCTCGACTAGATTACTTTTTAAAGCTCCAGGCTGAGAAAACATCTGCAACAAGGCTGAGGTCATTTCTGTCTTTTTTTCCCCCTCTCTTTTCCTGTCTGCTGCAAACACACACACACACACACACACACACACACACACACACACACAC